GAGAGAGAGAGCGAGCGAGAGAGAGAGAGAAGGGGTGGGGGTGGGGTGGGAGGGGGTTAAAAAGAAACAGTTTTGCATCTGGCATTGCAAGATGAGGCTGTTTTTTTTTTTTTAAAGGAACCCTCTTTGTAGATAATCGAGTTGACGTTTGGCAGTCGACAATGATAGAAACATTGTATGTTAAATAAAACAGAAACAGCGCAAAGAACAGTTGTGCCCTCCAGCCACAAACCAAGAGACAGAAAACTGAAGTAAATAAGCTCACAAAGGGTCTAGATAGCGTTCAATTGTTTCTTTTTAGGGTGGGGGATAAATGATTATAACTATAACCAATAAATTCAAATTGAGAAAAACGGTGATCAAGGCTATCTCCCACAACCCATTTTATATTGGATTCTTCAATGTTCGTCAAAGATCACCAGATTGCTATGGAAATAATTCACCCAGTAAACTCAAGCTAGACGAAGCATTATTTCCAAACGTTGCATTTTGTTGTAACTGATGCACAGTATTTTTAGCACTTCTCTTCAGCCAATAATAATTTATCACTGGGACAATAGAGTATCATATTATCTCTCTTATCTTAATAAATATGAAATGTCGTCATAATTGAGCTCCATTTCGACATCCAAGTTCTCACCTTATCCCTGCCCAGCGAGGCTAGGCACACTGGTCCCGTGACCCCTGCAAAAGAGTAGCGTGCTATCCTCTTCCAGAACATATCACAGGCACTGTGTGTACGCGGGCTCTGCGTGTCGATGTCGTACACTTTGAACAGATCCGAGGAAATAACGTCTGTATCCTGCCAAGAATCAAGATGCTGCTGGTTCGCCTTGGAAGCGTTGCGTCCTAAAACCCCTTGCCTGGGCAGAAACACGCCTTTTCGAAGTCTGTACGTTTTCATTCGTATTGAGTTACTTTTGGTATCAGCCACAAAGCTGTAAAATCCGGACCGGAATGGCGTAGTTTGGAATCGGGTGAAGTCTTGGAAGTACAGAGTTAACGAGTCGTTGAAGAGCGGGGAGGAGATTCGGTACAGCTCGGATCTCAGCAGGATCGGCCGTCTTCCTGGCGGGGTCGGTCCCTGTGCGTGCTGGCGGTACTGTCGGACATTGCTGTAGGTGCCTGGAAGCTCAGACGCCAACACGTCGATGTCTCTCAGCAAGGACTTCTTGTCTGCTTGGCAAAGGTCAAGGAAGCATAAGCAGCAAACGAGGAGGAATTTAATGAGAAGCGTACTCAGTTTATCTGGAAGTAAACTCCGGGTAGTGAGCGGAGCAAATGAGCTTGACTTTGCTCGGATGGTTGACATTTTAAAAAGTAAGTAAGAACAAAACCGGGTGACTGAATTTTTATGTTAGTTTTTCTAGGAGTAATAGTAAGCACTCCAGTAATTAATGGATTGAGAGATATTTTCGAATGTTCAAATTTTAGAAACACGATTCAGCTATTTATTACTTTGAGATTGTCGATGCATTAGTAAAGTTGGAATTCCTGTAACCACAAAGTTATCTTTTTGGTCTTGCTTACGTTTCTCGCTGTGAATGCAATTATGTTTGTGACTGAGGTCTCTGAACATTGCTTAAGTAGTAGTCTCGAGTGCCCCCCCTACACACATCCTCATTTTGATTGCCTGCCTTCCGTTTTGGGAACCACTCTCAGTGCCTACGAGAGCAACATAAACACGATTCTGGGGCCTGATTGGTCAAGAGCTTGTGGCGCGTGCAGGATACTGATGAATTACTCCGCGCGTTGGGTTACAACACGATGACATGGGACACCAGAGGCCATTGAGAGAAAAAAGTTCTCTGCTAGTGACGTCTAAAAGAAAATCTCGTGCTGCGATTGGTTTAAGAAACAAGAAATTGCACCATCAAAAGCTTCAGATTGTCGTCATTGGGTTTGGCAGGCAACAAGAAATTAAAAATGTATAACAGTTTTCATTTTTCCACGGTGCCTGCAAAACAGTTTAAGATGTAGACCAACTGTGAAACTAAACTGATACCAGTGTTATTCACACTTAAACACTATGTTACAATGCAAAGGAATATCTTCAAAGTAGTGCAGAGGGGAGGGAGACGAATGAAATGTTCAGGCTTAGCGCTATGACAATTCCACTCCCAAGAGGCTGCATTTTCATTACGAGTTGTCATAGGTTGTTGGCGCTAATTGCCATGTCTATGGTTGGTGCCCTTTCAAGCATTAGGACTCGGAAAGAGCGTGCTGAAACTCGAGACATAGTGCTGAGAGGTCCACGGATCGAGCATTGTTTCCAGCACAGACTCCTTCACTTACACCCCCTCCTTCATTCATGAAAGTATGCCTGGCCCCTTATCTCGCAGGCCAATGTATTTAGAGCTACGCTTGACGTGAGCGAGGGGGGAAGGTAGGAAGACTGGGGACAAAGGGGAGTATACCTTTGTGATTGCATTCTCAAAGACTTGCGCCAATTTCAGTTTCTCTCTCTCCCCCTATCCCCTACTCCCCTCCCTCCCCCCCTCCTCTCTCTCTCTCTCTCCCCCACCTTCCCTCTTTCTCACTCTCTCTCCTCCTCTTGCTCTCCATCTCTCTATCTTGAACTCGCTCTCCCCCTCTCCATGTATAGGACAGGGCATGCCTGTGTGGGTAGGTGAGTGTGTGTGTGTGTGTGTGTGTGTGTGTGTGTGTGTGTGTGTGTGTGTGTGTGTGTCTGTGTGTGTATATATATACATATATTTAATATATACATGCATATCTATATATAAATAAAACATAAATCTATATGTATTTATACATACACACATATTATATATATAAAACCTAAATTAATTTCTTTAAATAAAGAAATACAAAATCCAACTCTATATACATACATAATTTTACCGAGATGAACCCTAGTTTATTTAGATATATATATATATATATATATATATATATATATATATATATATATATATATATATATATATATATATATATATATATATAAATTATGTATATATGCTTGTACATATTGAACAATATTACTGAGATATATAAACAGACAGACACACAGACAGACAGACACACAGACAGACGTACAGACAGATGGACAGAAGGACAGATGGATAGAGAGACAGCCAGACAGCCAGACAGCCAGACAGACAGACAGACAGACAGACAAACAGACAGACAGACAGACAGACAGACAGACAGACAGACAGACAGACAGACAGACAGCGCTAATAATCATATTTCCCCTTATTAGGACAAAGAAACTATACAAGTTGTAAATAAATCCTCAAACATATCCTATATAAAACAATAGAAAATAAAGTAGGTGGACCAGTATGGAAGAAGACAAGTGAGTACACACGTACACACTGCAGCGAAGATGTTAAAAGAATGATGATTAAATCTATATAATATTCATTTTTGTGTCAAAGATTTAAATACCTTACCAAAACTACAGCACAAAGCGGTAAAGCAGATCTCCCACATCATCTAACATTATATTATGCTTCTCCTTTAAAAGAAGTCTGAAGTATTGGATTCGATATCTGAACCCCCCTCCCCCCACCCCTTAAAAAAAAGAAAAACATTATTTTAATTTCAATTTTTAAAAGTTCAAATGTGCCGAAGGGCTCATGACAGCATTTAGCTCAAAGTCAGTAAGAAGGACAATACATGTCAGGACCCCTGTTGGCCTTTTTCTTAGGTTTTGTTTTATTTTGTTTGTATATTTTCTATTTTCAGTTATCGAAACAAATGTTTCAGGTTTGGTTTTACAAAAATGCATACATAACTAAAGCTCTGAGGAAACTTTTCGGCGAATAATTGTGAAATTGCTCGCAATATCTGGTGGGATTTACATTCCCCAAAGCTCACATCTGTAGGCCTAGGGCAAAACAGGGTAGCCTTTCAGGAAGATGTTTAGTGCCAGTGACGGGGGATATCGTCTTTGTCAATTAAATCTATTTCTTCTGTTTGTGGTACTTTTTGTACTTGCTATGCTAAAAACAAACAAAAAAGAAACTCCCGATAAGTTACTCATTATAACTTGATATGTAAGTTTAACTCACGGTGCTCGCATGAAATGCAATAAATCAGTATTTGACCGCTCCCAGATTGAGTATTTTATTAAGAGAGCGTATAAAGCGCAAAAACCAATAAGTCAAAGTTATTCGAATTATCCTGGGAGAAGCGCACTAGGCCTAGCTTTATCACTCCAGTACTTTTTTTACACATGAATAATATACCTTTATTTTGCGACTTTACAATTTGCACCCCCAAAGAGCCCAGTTTATTTCCTCTGGAGAAACGTGAATGCGAGGGTGAAACTACAAATATCATTGCTATGACTGTATTTCGAACCGCCAACTGTTTGTTAAGACTTTTAAAAACATTGCTTGCTTTTTGACAAAGATTGTTGATTGCACATCAAAACATCATGACCCGCTCCCGTCATCACGTAAGCTATGACGTCGCTACCATCTGTTGGGCTAAGAGTATTTGATATAAAATACACGAAGTTAAATGTTAATACGCAAACCGCACCTACTATTGACCGGAAGCTATTACTTTCAAACCAGCTCTTAACCGGAAGCCACGACACTTCAGGAGTGTCAAACGCGGCCAATCCGTCGTGAGTAATTAAGTGGCTCTCGGGGCTACCATCGCCATATCTCAACCTCGCAACATTTCCCCTCTCTGTTTTTCGTCCTCCCTGCTTTTTTCACTCTCAGTTTGCTTTTTAAAAAAATATTCTCCCTTTACCTTTGGAAAAGCCAAGAAAGAAATCTTAACGCGTATGGACTAAGCAATATAAATTCATTTGTTCTATTCATCTTATTCTGGCTAAAAACGTGTCGTTTTTCTTGATGGGTCGAAAACAATCTTCCTTAGAGGAAGCACACATTTTCTGCCAACCCTATGTTTGCAATTCTGACTGGACACTATCGTTTCCTTTACCACAAACGCTGCTAAATTAGCATTCTCTTACCAAATCTATGTAATATAAATTTTTGATCACCAAATTTTCTTAGACGAGTAACTCACACGTTCTGTTTCTTTTATCACACCTTCTTTATTTTCACGAGCATTTTTTTTCAACGGTTGCACATTTGTCTCAATAGTTATGATTATATCGGCACAATGCTGGTCCGCTGCATGCGATGGCAAATGGCCTAACCGCTATACCACACACGCCTGTTTCGTGACGCTGGTACATTACTTCTCTAGAGTACTAGTGCAACTAACTTTTAGACCGTTAAGTTAGTCTCCACACCAACGGTACATGTATTCTGAAACTCGGTGTTTTTGAGAAGGACACTGGCAAAAGAAGCCAGTCTATTAGTTTGAGTGCACAATGAGCTGAGTTCACGCAGTGCATATTTAGATTTAGAGCTTTAGGTCTCGAGCTTCCCTCACTACCATGGTCCAAATCATCATCATCATCATCATCATCATCATCATCATCATCATCATCATCATCAT